TGCTGTACTCCTTCATGGCATCACTTGGACAACAGCTCCCTGATGGACAGAACACACACACACACACACGCACGCACGCACGCACGCACAGACACACACACACACACACAGTGTGTGTATCTTGAAGTTAATGGCTGTAATGTGCGGCTAAGTCTCTGTGTGCTGATATGCCTGATCTTTCCTGTGTCTCTCCAATTGTGGTTATGTGTTTGTGTTTGGATAAATGTGAGAAGAATATTATCTGACTGTGTGTCTGTGTGTGTTTGCTGGGGCATTGTGCCTCCAGTGAAGGGTGAAGGGGTCCATCAGCTCTCTCTCAGTGGTCTGACAGTGCAGACGGAGACAGAGCAGTCACCCAGTGCTGCGGAACTGCAGCTTGTCTGACAACACAGACAAGATGCAGAGACACACAAACACACACACACAGACACCGACACGCACACTACAGATATCACTTTCCCTCCAATCTCCATGCACACAACTTTCTAATCTGCTAAAGGCACAAACTATTACAGGGTGTTTAAAGGATCATGCAGACAGCTGTCCTCCTGCTGCACATGATCTTTCAGTGTCCTTCATGCAATTAAGATTGATGCTTTGTCGGAGCGTTACTGTGACTCAATCCCTCTATGAAATACAATATGGAATTAGCTAGATAGTGGAAAGGGAAAGAAATAATACCAAAGTCATGTCACGACTCCTGTGATGACATTTGGCAGTAGTGAGCATGAGCAATGAGCATGATTTATTTAGCTGTAAATATCACTTTGTCAGATCTAAAACTAACTGTAACGAAACCGACTGAACAGCCATGGTGCTGTAAACAGATCTCCTCTTAGCTTTTGGATTTTAAGGACAAAAGACATATTCTTTCAGTAGCATGCATGGGCACGCTGCCTGAGCTAATTCTTCTCTAGACAACTAAAGCCATGTGCAGAATAGTGATCTACTGTTTAATCTCATTTAAAGTGTCAGTTTCATGCAATTGATGCACCTGCAATCTAAACATTAGTAAACATTATTTAGTATATAAAAGGTTTATGCTGGTGTGCCTGGCTGGCACATCAGTCTCTTAGAGAAAGCTTTCGTAATCACATGGACGTTTAGTCGATCTGGGCCTCAGACTACCACTCAATCTTTCGTTTCTCTGTCTGTATGTTGTATCTCTCTCTCTCTATTCTTTCCACATTGTTTGCCCCTTTATCGTGCTTTCCAGAAAGATTTAATCTCCCAGTTGACTAAATTAACCTCTCCCCCACTCTTGGCAGATCCTAGCATCCTCATATCCTCTATCAGCCCACATTTACTGCATGGAAAACTTCAACACTCATATGAGACATACTGGCAAAACTCCACTGTGGATAAAGTTACTGCGCTGTTGTAGCAAAGTTTAAGCCTTTATCTCAGTTCACAGACAACAAGAGGTCCAGAACTTGTGACTTCTTCATAGCTGGAAAAAGTAAGCAAAAAACATAAACACTACAAAACATAACAAGGACATCTATAAATCTAACTATCTCACTGTGTAAAAGAATATAGTGATTTATTATCACGACTCTGAGGGTCATACAAAATTGTATTCTCTTCTTTTTTTGGTTATCTTCTATTTTATGCTAAACAGATATGATTCGCATCAGGAAATGTATAGTACGGTATTCAACTTGTCATATGAAAGGATCTATTTTTTTTAATGCAGTGTTGTATGAAAGGTCATAAATCTTTTCAACAACTGGACTTGGTGAACAATTAAAACATTTGTGCTTTTATGTTTTTCTGTGGATACACTACAACCTACCTAGCCAGCCTCTAATATTCAAATCAACAAGGATGATTTCATGAGGTAAAACATTTTCTCACATGTATGAAGCTGAATGGATAGAAAAGGCTTTTCTAATTCAATTAAACATCATTGCCTTAAAGCGTATCTCAGGGATGTCAAACTGCCGGCACTGGGGGCCATTTCCGGCCCTTCAACCCCCTCCCTCCAGCCAAGACATAATGTCAGAAATATAATGTAATCCGGCCAGCAAGATACATTTTTAAAAATGATTTCTTCTACTTGTTTCATATTAATTTAAACTACCACTTTTAATACAATACATTTTGTTGGGCGCAAAATAATGGCAAAGGTCAAGGAGGACTGCAAATGCGTTAAAAGGGTTGATGAGAAGAGAGCAGTTTTTGGGCCTTTAATCAAAAACGATTATATAAAATGATGATATGCAAATATATAGAAACTGTATTTTTATGTTAAGTATAATGTTAGTAATGGAGATATTTTCAGAATATTGCTTGCGTTCTTGTAGTACTTGAACTTTAAAGTGACCCTCCTATGAGATAACAATACAGTGGCCCAAGGCAATTTGAGTTTGAGACCACTGACCCCCTAGCTGCATCAGAGAAGTATGCTTAAATAATAGATAAAATGTCTCATTTTGTATTCCTGTGAAATACAGCGCAAGGTGTGTAAAAGTACCTTGGTCCTCATGATTTCCCTGATGGCAGAGTCAAACTCTAGGGAGTTGTTGTAGTCCACTGTCATGACGTGAGGTCTTCCGATGTACTGCTCTGCATACGGGTGCTGGGAGGACACCTACAGAAAACACATGCAGGTCATACAGTAAGAGCTCTACAGTATATGTCTAAAATAAATGTCTTAGACAGCTTGAAATGGTTATTGTGGGGAGTTAGATCTTAACTTTTCCTTACAATGATCAGGATTATGTCATTATTAATATTATTTTTATTTGGGGTATTTGATTGCATTAAATTAATTTCATTTTAATTAATTAATATCATTTAAAAAAAATCGAAAAATACAAATATTTCATGATAAAATTGGAAAATGTCTTTGGAAAATGAAAGTATTTGTAGCATTTTAACGATGTTCCTCTCAGGTTCAGAAATAATGTACAAGGCCAGAAGAATATTATGCTAGAAAGTTACTCACACAATACAACAACATAGATCTTGTTCTAAGAACACCAAGTTCCAGCCTCTTATCAAGCACTAACATGTGCTGTCTGCACCTACAGTTTGTGCCAGTTCTTTTAAAGGATCTACTGACGAATAAAGTTACTTGGCAACTTGGCTGCTAGTGAACACTGCAGTAGCCAAAATATTCTCATCAGTGACTGATGGTGGGGAGTAATGAACAATAATGAGCTTACCTCTCTAGAAGTGGGCTTGCCTCTGAAGAACTCGTGATTGAGTGAGCTGTGAGGTGGGTGGAATTTGGGCTGCAGGAAGATGCAGCCGTTGGCTATCGCCTCCAGAGGGGCTGGGCCTTCGTAGGGGAAACCAAAGCCAATGAAGAGCTAAAAAAAAAAGTCAGGAATATTATTTTGTAATTATGGTAATTCACTTCTACACATCTGTTGATCAGTTATGGTAATGTGTTATGTGTGTTTCTGGAGACTTAGGGTTAGGGTTAAAAAAGATAGACAGAATTGAAGCTGCCATTGAGTCTGTGTGCACTCAGAATGACACCTGCAGATAAAAGATGTGTGAGGGTAATAATATCTTCAGTGTCTTGCCTTGGCCTTGCGCAGCAGTTGCTGCAACTCATGCTGGGGCAGCAGACCGTGGTTCTTCACGAAGGCCGGGACCTCCGGAGGTCTCTGGGTCTCATAATACACTGTGCCGTGGACCTCCATGTACCTGTGGAGAATCTGCAGGAAACCTTCCTTACCCTGCTGGGAGAGGAGGGGAAAAAGATGGGTTGGTGAGACCGAGGACAAAGGGTGAAGAGAGGAGGGTGTAATGGAAAAGAACATGATTAAAGAATTTTGGTGTTTGTTTTGTCTCTGATCTTTGTGTGAGCTGTCTGCTGTCTGTTTACATAGCTGTCAACCTTTGGTGTCAGTACAGTGTTATGGGCTGATATTTGTGCCAGT